AGCCGACGCGGGCCGGCCGTTCGGTACCCAGACCGCCACAGAGTTACCCGCGCATCCCAGCTCGGGCGTTGCCAAAGGTGCCCCCTGGCTCTGGCTCTTCGAGTCACTTTGGGGCCCCTAGGGCCTCGTGAAGGGTGCTGTGGGGGTCGTCTTGGCTTCGCTGGAGCTCTTGGGCCGCCCTGGGCCAGAAGGCATCCCTGGCAGCACCGGACCAGCGGCCGCGGCGGCTGCCATGGCGGAGGATCACGGGCGGAAGCTCCACGAGCTCCCATTCGGAGGGGTCGGCGGCCATCCACGTACACACACAAACACACACACACACACACACACACACACGCACGCACGCACGCACGCACGCACGCACGCACGCATGTGTCTTGTCGCGGACCTGGCGCTCGCGCAGGCCGGTCGGGCAGGACAGGGCCACTGCACAGCAAAGTCATGCACGTGCACGGCACGAGGTGCGAAAGGGGGGAGGAGGAGGAGGAGGAGGAGGAGGAGGAGGAGGAGGAGGAGGAGGAGGAGGAGGAGGAGGACGAGGAGGAGGAGGAGGAGGAGGAGGAGGAGGAGGAGGAGGAGGAGGAGGAGGGGGGGAGGGGGAGGAGGAGGAGGAGGGGGAGGAGAGGGAGGAGGAGGGGGAGGAGGAGGGGGTGGAGGGGGAGGAGGGGCGCGGCCACGCGCAGCAGCGTCGCGAATAGAAAACAGAGGTGGAGGGAGGCGCGTGGACCGTCCCAGCTCACGCAGCAGGGGCATGCCAGGTCCACCCACAGGAGACCACACACACACACGCACCGATGTTCACGGGCAAGGGGGCGCATATCCATACCCGTGCCTCGCAGTCTGGTTTCTGAGGCGCGGTTCTGTGGACACGCGATCCCATGAGCATGAATACGTTCTTCGGAGGGACCGACATGGGGACGGAAAGACTGGACACGACGACCAGCTGAATTTGTCCTACCCGTTTTGAGCCGGATTCCCCGAAGGTGTCGTTATGGGCGGTGTCTATTTGGGACAAGAAGTCGTCTGCCAACGAGCGGCCGCTGTCGTTTTTGGACTACAGTGCCGTTTTTAGTACAAGCTGCGCGTGCGGATCATGTATTAAAAATGCATGGGTTTAGTATTAGAAGCAACGATGAGATCATGCATAACTTTAGGCATACATCAATCATTTTGAATCCCATATTAAACAAACAAATCCCATGTATTTAAATTGCCCTGTGCACTTGCTGTTGGGCATCATGCCCACTACAGCGTACCCATCTCGGGTGTGCCAGGTTCCGAGCGGGGCATCCGCGCGGGGAGCCGCCCCTGAGCCCACGGGGTCGCGGCCGAGGGGTCCAGACTGTGAGGCCGTGGATGTGGACACGCTTCGCGCCCTCCTCCTCCTCCCTCCTCCTCCTCCTCCTCCTCCTCCTCCTCCTCCTCCTCCTCCTCCTCCTCCTCCTCCTCCTCCTCCTCCTCCTCCTCCTCCTCCCCTCCCCCTCCCCCTCCTCCTCCTCCTCCTCGAAGAAAAAGATTTGCCCACGAGATCCTGGCCAGGCCCGTCTTGTTCCCGTCATCCGTGGGCGCGCACTCCTGCCGGGGCAGGGGCCGATCCCGGCCGGCCAGAGCTGGCCTGGATGGGCACGCGTGGCCAGTCGGCGACCCCCCCGGCCCACGTTGGCGGCGCGCGCACGGGGCGCGGCGCGGGCGAGGCGGCCGCCGGAGAAGCCGAGGGGGGGGCGCCTCGGCGGGCAAGAGGCTCCGCGGAGGCCGCCGCGGCTGCTCCGAGGCCCTCTCGGAGGCCTCCGGGCCCCATCTGGCACGAGGGGCGCCCTCTCGAGGGCGCGAAGACGTGCTCGCGCGTCGCCGTGGGGCTCCGATTCCTCCTCCTCCTCCTCCTCTTCTCCCCCCCCGGGGGTGCGGCGCGGGCGCGCGAGGTTTCTTCGCGCGTCGCGCGAGGCGCGCAGCGCGAGGCGTGGCGGCCCGGGGCCCGCCCGCTGAGGAGAGCACCCCGCCGCCCTCGGGCGAGGCCGCGCCCCCCCCTCGGCGGTGGCCGCGCCCCTTGCGCGCGCCGCCGGCCGTGGCTCTACCTGGACAACGTCGGGCAGGAGTACGGGCCCGTGCCCGGGTGCACCATCCTCGGGCCGGGCGAGAGGGGGGGATGTTGGGAAAGGGGGGGGGTACGAAATCTGCTGCGTGCAGCTGGTTTCGGCCTCACCGAGGGGCCCATTCAAAACAGGGCCAGGATCGGGATAAATCGCTCCAGAGCGTTGCGGAGCGCTCTCAGAGCGTTCTGGAACGCTCTGGAGCGGCCGCGGCGCCCAATACATCCTCCAAACCCGCCGATTCTCAGAGATTTCGAGTTATCCCGATCCGATGTTGTCCCGATCGATCTTCGCGTCGCTTTACCATTCCTCGATACATGGCCGCCTCCTGGCGCCGGGAGGCGCCGGGAAAGTCAGCTGCGCGAGCTGATTCTCAGCCCCCCCTGTGCTATCCCCCCCTTTCGCCCGGGCCGACATGCGACGATCCTCGGGCAGTGCGGCAGCCTCCGGCAGCAGGCCCACGCTCCACCCAGCTGCCACGCCAGATGGGCTTCGACTGGGCGTGTGCCTGCTTCGTGCTCGCGACAGTGCCGCCAACTCGCGGATCGAGGAACAGCGCGCGCGTGTGTGTGTGTGTGTCTGTGTGTGTGTGTGTCTGTGTGTGTCTGTGTGTGTGTGTTTGTGTGTGGTTGTGTTTGCCCGCGTTTAGTACTGCCTCTGCCTCTGCCTCTTCGCGGCGCGCGAGGCCGCTTCCGCCCTAAGTGTGTGTGTGTGTGCGCGCGTGCGCAATATCTCCCAGAGGAGGGGGTGCGAGGCCAACAGGGCAGGCGAGGGCGACATCGTGCTGCGAACGGCGGCGCGAGCTGGTCTGAGGCTACGCCTTGCCCCACCCATGCTCTGCGATTGGTCGCTCTGGGGCACGCGCCGGTCTGTCGCCTCATGGTTTTGCCGTGTTTCGCCCGTGTTTCACTTGCCCTTGCTTGGCCAATCCTGGCCTTCGGCCCTGTGGCCTTCCGTTTTCTGTCGGAGTTGGCGTGGCGTTCCCGCCACCCTCCGGCGGCTCTCCCGTTCGTTCGGTCTTCGTCGTCGTCGTCGGTCGGTCGTGGGTTCGGCCGCGTCGTGGGGTCCCCGCCGTCGTGTCCCTGGGCTACCCGACCTGCCTCTGCCCCTGCTTGCTCTGTCCCCACCCCCCTCTCCCCCTCCTTCCAGGTCGTTCCCACCGCAGGGGGCTGCCCCGTTTCTGCGTGCTCGCCTGGCGGTTTTTGCCAGCGCGGTCCGCCTCTATTGTGCCCTTGTTCCTCCTACCTCGTCTCCTCTGCCTCCTCTTCGGGGCGCACTTGATCGCTTTTGGTGGCGACCTTGACGTCGGTGCGTGCAGTGCACCTCGTGTATTTTCCGCGCTGCTCGAACGGCACCCTGCCGATCTATTGCGGTTTGCGCCTGTGTTGGAGCTTGCGATCGGTTCAGCTTGGACGTGTCATTGCCTCTGGCCTTTTTTGGTGGCTCGTACGCACTTGGGGTTGTAAGGCATGGCGATTTTGGCTGGTTTCGGCCTCTCAGAGCGTGACTTACCTACCACGCTTTCGCTTCCAGGCAAAACCAAGTTATACCACGCGCCTCCTCGTCAAGTGGCCTGACCAGTACAGGCCGTAGTTTGGCATCGCTTGGTATCTCCTGGAAGCGAGGGTGGTCAAACGCGAGGTAGGCTTGTTTGCCCCCAAGCCTCGCATGGGCGTCCTTTTTGCGTGCTCTGCGTTCCGTCACCACCAACATTTGCTGTCGGAACGTCGGGTCCGCTGTTGTGGCGCTGCCGCGGCCTGCAGGTCTAGCGCCCCACCAATGCTATGCGTCGCCGGTCTGGAGGGAAGACCTTACAGATCGTCCCGCCAGGCCTCTAGCTCTCAGCGTTAACCCCACACATGTACCGACGTTGCAGGCTGCTTTGAGTCGAGTTGCTTTGCTCCGCGGGTTCTGGCCGCTACGCGCACTGTGGGTCATCATTTGTCGCTGATTCGTGGCCTCCATTTGCACCAGACCGCGCGCGTTTTAGTTCACCTTGAGTCGAGTTCGCTCTGCGCACTCTTCGGGGTCTGGCCGCTGCATGCACGCTGATGGGTTGACAGCTTTTTTACACTACACCAGATCTCTGCAATGTATGGCCGCGGCAAGATTATTTCATCATGGTACGTTCGACGAAGTTCGTTCGCGGTTGGCACCTACTCCACTTGCCGACCGCGCTGAGGCTCGTTTTGCGCCGCTGAGGTAAAAGTGTGTGCGTGCGCGCCTTTCCGGGGCTGTTGTTTGAGAGCGCGACAGCGCGCTTCGGGCTTCTTTTTTGGTCGCCAGATTTTGGTTCCGCCGTGTCGCGTTGCGGACCGCCGCGACGCCAAAATTCGTGTGTGCGTTTACCTTGCTCAGTACCACCGATAGCCACCTGGACAGGCCAGAACCCAGTCACCCGTGAGGCCACGCACCCAAAATGAAATCGCACCCTCACACCCAGGCCCGTGGGCGTCATCGTCGTCGCCGTCGTACTCGTCATAGTCGTCTTCGTCATCGTCACCGCCAGCATCCTCCCCCCCCACCCAGCGACCTGGTGTGGTGCTTGGGCTAGCTTCCGTCTGGCCTACTGTCGGTCCGCCGCTCGGCGCGCAGGCGGGCGGCCGCCCGATGCACTGCTCCGCCAGGCAGTGGCCGGTGATGGCCCGAGAGCACTTTCGGCCACCCGCTCGAACTCCATCCATAATTTTGGGAAGAATTTGCCGTCCCAGACATGCTCGCGTCGTCAGAATAGCAAAGCGATAGGTTTTTCGTCGTTTTCGGCCTCGGGGGGCATATGCTGGGCTTCGGGACCTTCCATGAACGACTCATGATGAGAAGCCGGTCCCGTGGAAGGAGTCGAGACCTCCAGGGGTCCCTTGCTGAAATGATCGCGACGTCGCAGATCTGGGCTTGGCAGGCATTTGCAGGCACATGCAGGACCCCACGACGGTGCCGACACTTCGCCGGAGGACGAAACGTGTGCGCCTGCCCTGTTCGGCTCCTCCGGGAGCGCGCCGCGTGCGTCGGCCTGTCGCCCCTCGTCGCGCTGCGTGCGTCCGGGGCACACGCCGGCGCCAGCACGCGCCTGGGGGATCGTCGAACCATGCACGAGTGGCTGACCCTGGGGCGCTTCCCCGTGGGGCGCGACCTGCGCGTGCGGCTGCCGGAGTGGGAGCGGCACCTGCCGCTGCACCAGCTGTACTCGGACCTCAGCATGTCGGGCCGGACGAAAGAGGGGGATTGGGAAAGGGGGGGTTACGAAATTTGCTGCATGCAGCTGGTTTCGGCCTCACCGAGGGGTCCATTTCTCTATACATAGCCGCCTCCGGTGCCGGGAGGCGCCGGGAATATCGGCTACGTGAGCTGATTCTCAACCCCCCCCTTTGCTATCCCCCCCTTTCGCCCGACCCGAGCATGGCCTTCGTGCTGCCGCCAGAGTGGCCCGACGTCTACGGCGAGAGCCCCCCGGCGCCGCCCGGCGAGGCCGCCGCCCAGGGCGGGCAGCAGTTCGCCGCGGGCGTGCACGCTGCCGGGCCGCCCGTGTCCTCGCTCATGGTCGTCGGGCGGACGTTTCTTTCATGTACGGTATCAGAGCCCCGAATCATCATCATCAGAGGAAGAGGAGGAGGAGGAGGAGGAGGAGGAGGAGGAGGAGGAGGAGGAGGATAAGGAGGAGGAGGAGGAGGAGGAGGCCTCCCAGATGGGGTCCGAGCAGATGGGGTCGGAGCAGATGGGGTCCGAGCAGATGGTGAGAGCCCCAAAGTCATCAGGGGTAACTCGGGTCAGGGCTAACTCGGGTTCGTTTTTCGGGATTCCGAACCCGATTTACCCCGGACCCGAGTTACCCCAGATAACTCGGGCGCCCAACGGTAGGTTCGCGTCGTGTCGACCGGCGGCGACCCCGCCGAGGGCGTTCAAGGTTGAACGCCGCCAGTGGGCCAGAATCGGCTTACGTCTATGGAACGACCGGGCGGTCGAAAAGCCGCCGATCGTTCAAGGTTGAACGATTCACGCGGTGTCAGAAACCAACGCCGGGGTCGTCACGACACGAACCTGCCGTATTATCGGGGGTGGACAGAACCCCCAACAGTGACACGTCGATTAGTGAATTGTCCGTTTTCGGTTCGCGAGGGGGCGCCGCGGCCGTTGTTTTCCAGGCTTGTGCCCGCCAGGTTTGGGCCCGAGGTCGCTTTCACTAAACCACGTTTTACTAAATGGAGGTCTGTCCATCCCCGATATTAGGGGAACACAAAGTGACATAAACATAAAAACTCGGAGGTCCGCGCGGATTTCTCGGCTTCGCGCTGGGGCCCCCTGGCGGCGCCTCCGGCGCCGCCCCTGGCGCGCTCCGCGCGCCAGGGAGGGGGGTCCAGCGCCGATCCGAGAAATCCGCGCGGACCTCCGAGTTTTTATGTTTATGTCACTTTGTGTTCCCCCATGTACGTACGTGCTGTAAAGACGCACATGATAAGACCGTATGCGTAAGCGCGCATGCGTGTATGCAGTTCTGTATGCGTATACATGTGGATACGCATGCACACATGCACGTGTACACGCACGTCGTGCGCATGTGTATGTATATATATATATATATATATATATATGTCTGTGTGTGAACCGATGTGTACGAATTTGCATGTGAACATTTGTGCACAACATGTTGACCTACGTGAGCCCCCAACACATTGTGTTCTCGCATAGTACGTGTCGCAATACATGTGGTGCAATTCGCCCTGCTAGACTTGAAGTTGTCAACTCCACTGCTCGCGCAATCATCCCACCAAACCGCCCGCAAGCTCATTTGCAAAACACATGCGGCAGCGATTGTGATGGTTGTTTGGCCCGGCCTGGCGCATCGCGGCCGCGCTAGCGCATGGAGGCTCGCGCGCAGAGCGGCCAGCTAGTTTTGCAAGATTGGTGCGGTAATGATGGCGCTGACCGTTGGGGAATTCCCAGCGCGTCTCGCGGGCCGCGCTGACGCTCGGGCACTTCGGTGCGAATCGATGATTCGGGCGGGCGCGGTATCATGGCGACGTCGACGACGGCAGGCACGATGATGATAGTAGCGGCGACGACGACAGCAAGGCAATTGACGGCGCCTATGCTTTTCACGCCCGTGACGATGATGGTGTCCATGCGTCGGTGATCAGCGTGTTGTGAAAAATTCGATAATCGCGCGCGGCAGACTGGCGCGAATGGCCCGCATGGTATTCTGTGACGGGGTCAGTGCCCCCCATGCCCAGAAAACGTGGAAGAACGCCCGTCTGAATTCGGCACGCGCGCGCGAGAGGCCCCCGCACAACGTGTGATTTCCGTCAGAACTGGCAATGTCGCGCGCATGTTACATATCTGTATATTTGTGGTTGTATATGTTCGGGGGCATCGACCTTCAAAACCTTAACTTAACTGTGGCTTTGAAAAGGGTTCCGGCATGCGCATTCAACGCTCGCGTGAAATCTGTTCGCAAAAGATTGTTTAAACGGTTGGTTGCTGCTCGACGACAGCGCGCGTATAGTATTTTTGGACGAGTGTGATGGGAAGGGTCGGTACCTGCTTGACTGGGGTTCGATGGAAACACAGTTAAGATGATCGATGGGGTAGAAGCATGCGTATATCGTCTGATCCCAGGATGGACGGATACGGCGGGGGGATCCAATTTCTTCCGTTAGAAAAGAGAGCATCCGAGCTGCGAGTTTTGTGATGCAAGCTACGTGGTGCAATCTGCGTAGTGCGAGTAGCGTTTGCCCGCAGTGAGTTGTCATCTCTACTGTTCAGGCAGTCTTCCCACCCAATGACCCGCAACTTGGTTTGCAAAAGCCATGAGGCGGCAATTTCGATGCGTGCGCGGCGTTGGCTGGCGCATCGTTGCGCGGCGCCGGCGCACGCAGGCTCGCGCGCAGAGCGGCCAGCTAGTCTGGTGAAACCGACGCGGCCGCGGTGGAGCTGACCGTTGGGCACTTCTGGCGCGTCTCGCGGGCCGCGCTGACGCGCGGGCACGTCAGTGCGAGTCGGTGATTCTGGCCGGCGCGGTATCATGGCGACGTGGACAACGGCGTACACGATACGATGACGGTTGTAACGATTTTCGTAACGATTTTAACGATGACGGCAAGGCCAATGACGGCGCCGATGTTGATCACGCCGATGACGATGATGGTGTCTTCGCGCGCGGCCTACGCGCCGGAATGCCTCGCATGGTACCATTTGACAGGGATCGTGCCTTCCAAGCACGCGCGGCAGGGCGTTCGAATGATGCCAACATGCGCGCTCAAGATGCCCGTGTGGTGGTTTTCTGAGGGTTCGCAAGAGCGCGCGCGCAGATTTCTCTGCGGTTGAAACTGGCGTTGCGAAACCATTGTTTTCTGAGCGAAATCGGGACATTCGTGCTTGAAACCCTTACGGCACCTCGGTTGCTTCAAGGACGCTGACATGCGTCGTCGACGACGCTCGCGTGGGGCTTTCGTCAAATTGCTGGCGGAGGTTTTTTGAAAACGTATAATTCGTGATCGACGTACCTGCGCGCACATGTTTGGGACAAACATGGCGGGGACGGGGTCGAATTCGGCCTGGCTGGGACAGGTTGCGTTCTTACTCGAATGAACAATGGGGCAGAATCGTTTGTAAACTCCGCAACTCCAGGGCGGGGGGGAATAATCCAGGGGGAGAACACAATTTCACAAGTTACTGATTTTGTCTTCTTCGCGCGCGACCATGTCCCACGTTTGCCCACCCACCCCACCCACCCAGCCGCAAGTTGGTTTGCAAAGCCCATGCGGCGGCGATCGCGACGGCTGCGTTGAAAAACAGCATACGATGTGCAAGCCTTGTGGTGCAAGCTACGTGGTGCAATCTACGTGATGCAAATCGTGTTTGCCCGGCTGCCCGCGCCATCTTCCCATGGGCCCACCCGCAACCAGGTTTGCAAAAGCCGCGAAGCGGTAATTGTGATGCGTGCGCGGCGCTGGCTGGCGCATCGCCGCGGCCGCGTTAGCGCGGTCAGGCTCGCGCGTAGAGCGGCCAGCTAGTTTGGCGAGACCGATGCGGCATCGATGTCGTTGACCGCTGGGGACTTCCCAGCGCGTCGCCTGTTGCAGGCCGCTTTGACGCGCGGGCACATCAGTGCGAATCGGTGATTTTACCGGACGCGGTGTCACCGCGACGCAGACAGCGGCCAAAACGTTTTTGGTGACGAATCTGACAATGACGACGGCAAAGACGATGACGGCGCCAATGTTGATCACGCCGATGACGATGATGGTGTCCTCCCGTCGGAAGGGTTTCGGCGTGCGCGCGCGGTCGACGCGCGCGATTAGCCTGCATAGGATTGGATCACAGGGATCGCTCCCGCCCAGCACGCGCGAAAAGGCGTTCGATTGATTCCGACACGCGCGCGGGAAAGGTTCGCTTGGTCGCATGAAGTGAACATGTTGGAAACCAAATGGTGTTTGCATGGATTCGGAAGGCCGCGTGCAGATTGTCTGTCGACAGCAAATGTAGGGATGCCGCTTTTTGTTGATATGATTTCGGGACAATCGATGTTGAATTCCTTGCGACCATTCAAGGTTCTGGGAAATGTCGGCATGCGCGCACAAAAGGCGCGCGCGTGTGCGTTTCGTGATGTTTTTTGTTTTGCCAGGGGTTTTGGCGACATCACATGCGCGAAGGCGTTCGAATGATTTTGAAATGTGCGCGAAAAACACGTTTGGTCGCATTTGATGCACATGTCACGAAGCCTGCGATTTTCTGCGCATTCACAAAAACGCGAGCACAAACTTTTGTGCGAAAGCGATACCTGGTGCAGACCCATTGATTTACATGCTTCCGGGACACTCGGATTCGAAAAGCTTGCGGAACTGTAAGCGTTCGAAGGATTTCGGGATGCGCACGCGACGACGCGCGCGTGTGCTCTTCGTTCCGCTTTTGCAGGAAATTATTGGCAAGAGTGTGCGCGCAATGTGAATAGTAAAATGCAGGATGATGGGGGGGCGATGCCGGTTCGGTTGGGATCATCTGAGTTGATATTCCGAAAGGAAGATAGATGGGGCAGGCTCCCATGTTAATTTTGCACATCCCCTGGTGGTGTCGGTAATTCCGGGGGGGGAGATCCAAATCTTCGTTCAGGCTGGATAATATACGTGATGGGATCGGCGTGCCGTAACATATTCATTGTAGTGTATGTTTATTGGACAACGTGTTGCAACACATGTTGTGGAACTTATGTGATGCATACAAAGCAAGAGAAATCAATATGAAGCAGCGCAATGCAACGCAACGAAAAAACAGCGCACATCAACGATCAATGCATTGCAGAGCGCAGCAAAGCAATGCCAAGCGAGGCCGAGCTCTGTGCAGCAGTGCACCACAGCGCGGAGCAATACCAAGCAGCACACACACAACGCACAGCAATTCGAACCAATGCGCGAATAGGGCGGCGACGAGGCGGCGACGGAGGCGGCATGGCGGCCAGCGCCGGCCGCAGGCCCAGGTGAAAGGGCGCCGACGAGGCGGCGACCGCGACCACGTGGCATCCGAAGAGGCCCGCCGGCCAAGGCGACGGGTAAGGCGACGAGGCTTGCGGCGGCGGCGGCACGGCGGCTGGAGCGGCACGCAGGGCCCAGTTTTCCTCGGAAGACGAGTGAGACCCCCGAAGCCCGAAGTGCAAACATCGTTCGGGGAATATATATATATATATATATAGGTGTGTATATATACGCATGCGCATACACACATGTGAATTTACATGACCCTGCAATGCAATGCAATGCAATGCAAATGCAAATGCAAATGCAAATGCAAATGCAAATGCAAATGCAAATGCAAATGCAAATGCAATGCAATGCAGCGCGATGCGATGCAATTCAATGCAAAGCATGGCATAGCACGGCATAGTAGCAAGGCAAAGCAACGCAGGCCCAGACAACGGGCGGCCACGAGGCGGCGAAGGTGCTGGCACGACGACGTAGCCGGCAAGCAATGCAGGCCCAGACGACGGGCGGCGACGAGGTGGCGACGGGGCGGTGAAGGTGCGGGCAGAACCAGACGACCGGCGGCGACGGGGCGGCGACGGCGACTACATAGCCGCCAGTCTCACCCCCACGCCCGGTTGGCCACTCCAGAAGTCAGAGCCCCGCAGTGAAAGCACCGTTTGGAGCACGCACGTACACACGCACTTGCACACGTCGGGATCTACAGATACACGTGCGTACGCGTGCGCATCTGCCCCTGCACGTCTCGACTGGCCTTCTGCAGGCCCCTCGTGGGCCCAGGCCCCGGGCCTGTGCTTCCCTGGCCCCGGGGGACGGGCCTGCGGTCCAGGGGTGGTGGGCCTGGAGGGTTTCTCCGCAGGGCTTCGGCGACCCGTCCTCCTCCTCCTCCTCCTCCCCCTCTTCCTCCTCCTCCTCCTCATCCTCCACCTCCTCCTCCTCCTCCTCCTCCTCCTCCTCCTCCTCCTCCTCCTCCTCCTCCTCCTCCTCCTCCTCCTCCTCCTCCTCCTCCTCCCTCCTCCTCCTCCTCCTCCTCCCCCTCCTCCTCCTCCTCCTCCTCCTCCTCCTCCTCCTCCTCCTCCTCCTCCTCCTCCTCCTCCTCGGGTCGCCTACGGCCTGGGGGGAAACCGTGCAGGTGGGCACCGTGCAGTCCTCGCCGCCCCAGGTCGGGGGCACGCCCCCGATGGGGCCGCTCACGGCGCCGGCGGCCTCCGGGGGCGTGGCCGGCGGCTACGTGCCCGCCGCGTCGTCGCTGCAGCCTGCGGCGGCGCGCGCTCCTTCCGGCGGGCCAGCTGCGGCGCAGTCGGGTCCGACCGCGAGGTGGAGGGTTGCCTCGAAGGGCTTTGGCGACCCGTTCTCCTCCTCTTCTTCCTCCTCCTCCTCCTCCTCCTCCTCCTTCTCTCCTCCTCCCTCCTCCTCCTCCTCTCCTCCTCTCTCCTCCCTCTCTCTCCTCCTCCTCCTCCTCCTCCTCCTCTCTCCTCCCTCCTCCTCCTCTCCTCCTCCTCCTCTCCTCCATCCTCCTCCTCTCTCCTCTCTCCTCTCTCCTCTCTCCTCTCTCCTTCTCCTCCTTCCTCCTCCTCCTCCTCCTCCTCCTCCTCCTCCTCCTCCTCCTCCTCGGGTCGCCTACGGCCCCGGGGGAAACCGTGCACCGCGAGGTTCGTGCTGCAGAGGCTGATGCAGGAGGAGCCGCGGCCGCTGTCCGACGAGCCCATCCTGCCGAAGCCGCCCCCGCAGCCCTCGTACTCGCGGCTGCAGGATCTCGGCGCGGTCGAAGTGGGTGCGGGCAGGATGGGATTCAGAGGAGGATGAGGTACCGATACCGTTGCCGTGTCCGGTTTGTTTCTCTTGTCGAGCCTCCTGGGAGGCCCTCGTCGCCACCGCTTGACTCGTCTCGAAAATGCGCCTCAGGAGAGGTCCGGGGAGTAGCGGCATCGGTAGCTCTTGGTTTCCCCAGGGCCGAAGACCGACGGCAGCTCTTCCCCGCTTGAGCAGGGCGCGCCGTCGGTGCAGGGCCGATGACAGACGGCAGCTCTTCCCCGCTTGAGCAGCGCTCGCCGTCGGTGTCGCCGCGAACGTTGTCCGCTTGAGGCGAAAGATCGCCTGTCCGACGGCGGCCGCTGAAGTTTTTTTCAGAGTCAGGCGTCAGGCTTTGCCCAAGGGGGTCCTGTCTGTTGTGTAAAGGAGCCGGTGGATGGGGCGCTCGTCAGGGGCTGCGCTTTGCGTCGGCGTTGCTCGCTTCCTTGGTGTCGTGTTCCTCTAGGCCTTGCTCGGGTTCCTCGCTTGGGTTCCTCAGGGTTTCTCGCCTCAAATTCTCGGGTTTCTCGCGTGGGTTCCCAAGCAATGCCAACCACTGCAAAGCAATGCTAAGCAACCCCAAGCGACGCCACGTAACGCCACACAGTGCCAAGCAAAGAAAGAAGACCCCTAATCAGGGTCACGCCGGGCTAATGGACAGCATCCTCCGTCGGGAGCCTTAGGACGTGGGCCAATGCAGTCAGCAAGACCGCCAGATCTTACAGGATCTTGCAGAGCCAGGGTAGCGGTGACCTGGGCTTACGCGCAGGATTTTGCAGGATCTTGCAAAGCCCGACTGATCCGGGTTTGCATCAACCCAGGTCATCGAAGATGCGGCGTGACCCGCCGACCCCACCTGCCCGGACCTCACCTGGGACGCCTAGCGATTTCGACAACGACCGCGAGGACGACGACGCGGAAGTGCGAGCAGAAGCAGCAGTGCCCGATTGACGACGACGACGACGACGACGACGACGGCGACGGATACGACGATGATGGCGGCGGTGGCGACGACGACCGCGACGACGACAACCACAAAAACGGTGACGACGACGACGACGACGACGACGACGACGACGACGACGACGGCGACGACGACGACGACGACGACGACGACGACGACGACGACGACGACGACGACGACGACGGTGCGTCCCCGACTCTGTTGGGAATCGTGCCAATGTGTCGTGGTTGCCAATGCCGGGCGTCCACAGGACCTGTTCTCGCAGCCGCAGGAGGGCCCGCCGACCTGGGAGCAGTGACCCCGCGTCCAGCCTGGCAGCGCGCACCGGGGGGGACAGTGGGAGGGGGGGGAGGCTCCTTGGAGGCACCCCTGCTTCTCAGAAGGCGCGGGCCACGTCTCACGATGTGGTGCCTGCGCCTTGCAAAGATGCAGCCTCCTTCCAAGAGGCCTTGCCCCCCTCCCCCCGAAACTCCTCCGTGCGCGCCGCCAACCGGCAGCATCCGCCCGCTCCACGTCTGCGCGCGGTCGCTCCTGCACGTGCTGCGCGGTCAGCTTCCGCCCGCCCGCGCCCGGGCGCGGTCCCTCGTCCGAGGTGGAAGAGGTGCCCATGCAGCCAGCCTCGTCTCGCTTCTGCCCGTTCGGGCTTCCTTGGAGGCCCTCGCCGCCACGGCTGGATCCGCCTCGAGATGCTGGTCGGAATGCGATCCGGGAGAGGCCAGGGAAGCACAGTGAGCGGCTCGAACGATGAGCGCTCACGTTCCAAGAGGGACTCGGTCGTTCCTTAGGCTCGCATGCGTTGTCTATCGCTCCTTGTGCGTTATGTATCATGTATCGCCCCTCGTGCGTCAATTCCTTGGGAAAGGGTCTTCGTTCCTTGTTCATCGTTCCTTAGGTCGGGCTGATGACTGTAGCGGTATCGGTACCCTTTCAGGTCTCCAAGTCGCGCACGCGTGACCGCCAAAGGCGTCCATGTACATAGCGGCTTTGCTCACCTGCGCCGCGGCCGGAGAGGCCCGGTCGGTGCGGTGGGCAGGCAGGGCCCATTTCCTAGCGCCTTGCTTAGGATGGAGCTCCTGGGAGGGCAATTTCAGGATCGGCGTTGGTATATCCCTAGGTGAGTCGGGGGTGGACAGACCTCCTACCCTGACACGTCGATTAAGGAATTTGCCGTTTTCGGTTCGCGAGGGGGCGTCGCGGCCGTCATTTTTGCGGGTCCAGGTCCGTCGGTTTCGGTCCCAGGCCGTTTTCCCTAAGGGAAGGTCTACTAAAAGGAGGTTTGTCCACCGCCGAGTGAGCGAGTTTCGGCGTTTTGGCATTGGGCGGAAGGGGGGGGAGAGGGGGGGTCTGGCTCCGGACCTCTTCCTAGTGCGACTGCTTGGGACTGTGCGTCCATCATGTGGGAGGCTCCACCTGTTCGAAATAGGCGCCCAAAACAGCCAAGATCTACTCCACGGGGGGGATGGGTGGGGGGGTGTGCGAGGGCCCGCGCCGATCAGCAAACGAATGAACAAAAAAATGATCACTAGTCGGAAACTGGCTGAATCCCACGCTCAGCCTGGCTTATTCCCACGCTTAGCCCGGCCTGACCCGGCTCAGCGCCCCCTAGACTTCGATCGGGCCTGATGGCCCCTCGATCCTCTTGACGAAGACCTCCCAGAAGGCGACTCCCAACTTGCGGCGCGGCGGGAGTGGCCCAGTCGGTGCGGAGAGCAGGCATGGCGAAATACTCGGTCCTTTGCCTCGGCGCCGGCCGAGCGGTCGGGACAGCGCAGGGCGGCACCGCCTTTTGGCCAGGGGCCTTGTTTCAAGTGCGGCGGGAGCGCGCCGGCGTCCGCGCCGGAGTCCGCTTTCCTCTGTCACCCGACAGTGTGAAACAAATGGTGCCGTCATCCAATCATCGGCCACAGAGCTCCACCCAATCTCGGACTGAGCATCGTTTCACCGATCCCCATTCCCACCATCATGGCCTTTGCCCCGCTGGCTGGTTTACGCGCCTAGATGGGGATCTGGGTTGTTCCCTTCGAGTCTCGAGGAGCCCATCCCCAACCAGGGGGGGTGATGGTTGGACTGTGACACCATGGCCAGATGGGGATGAGGATAGGTGAAGCGATGTTGATGAGGGACAGGGGCAGGAAGGGGAAGGAGCGCAGCAGGAGGTGGAGGAGCAGCGGCCAGAGGAGGAGGGGCGGGGGCCGGAGGCGGAGGTGGGAGGAGGCGGAGGCGGGCAGAGGGGGAGGAGGATGCGAGAGGAGGGGGGTGCGAGGGGACGAGGGTGGGGTGGACGAGGGGCAATGGTCACGAGAGTGGCAGAGGAGGTATATCAGAGGCGGAGGGGGAGGTAGGAGCAGTTGGGATCAACATGATGACGGTGGCGGGAGTCGGGGTGATGCTGATGGTGAGTAGTGATGGTGGTGCTGGTGATCGGAGCAGGGAGAGGATTGAGATGAGGATGAGGAGGGGGAGGAGTATATGGCACGATTCCGAAGGGGAGCGATTGTGAGGAGATGGGGAGGAGGGGTGATGAGGTGTGAAGAGGGATAATGGGGGAGATAGGAGAGGGAGGGGAGAGAAGGGAGGACGAGCGAGTGGGAGGGCGGATGACAGAGAGGAGGAAGAAGAGGAGGAAGGAGGAGGAGGAGGAGGTAGGAAGCAGGCGGTAGGAAAGAGGGACATGAACAGCTGGAGGACGAGGAGGGGTGGGAGGAGGGGTAGCAGAAGCAGGGCGACGAGAAGGGAGGAAGATGGGTAGCAGAAATAGGGCGTCGAGAACGGAGGATGAGAGAGCGGGAAGGATAAGGACGAGGATATTTAAAACAAGAGGGGAGTAAGGAGGGAAACTGGAGGCGTAGAAGGAGGAGGATGGGGAGGAGGACAGATAGCATATGGAAGAGGGAGGAGTGAGGAGTGATGGAGGAGGGAGCAGAAAGGACGACGAGGGAGGAGGGAGGAGTGATGGAGGAGGGAGTAGGAGGGACGACGGGAGAAGAGGGGCGGGGCGAAGAGAGGGGATGGAGGAGGGACGGGGGTCGAAGGAGCGAGGAGTATAGGAGGCGGGAGGCCAACGGGGGGAAGGATGACATAACAGGGAGGATGGGCGAAGGCGGACGCATGGGAGGGAGCAGGGAGGGATAAGGGATGAGCGACAGGAGGAGGTGGACGACGGCGAGGAAGGAGGTAACAGCCAGAGATGGAGGGCGTTGGCGGGAGGGTGAAGCGCGGAGGGAGCACGAGGCGATGGGTGAAACGGGGGGCAGGACGGGTTCGGAAAAGCATGGTAGGAGCGGGTGGTTGTGGGGAGGTGGTGCGTGAGTGAGGGACACGGGAGGGGCATGGGAATGGAAAAGTGCACGAGCAGGAAAAAATATTAGGAAGAGGCGGAGGAGGAGGAAAAGAGCGGGGATGGAGGAGGGGGAGGCGAAGGAGGCTGAGGAGTGAGGGGGAGGGATGACTTGATGGGAGGATGTGATGCGAGGAGGAGGAGGAGGAGGAGGCATAATGTCGATACAAATAGTCAGAATGCAGGAGGAGAAGCAGCAACAGGTAAAAGAGGGGGAGGGGGGGTGGGCAGCAGGGATGAGCAACAACGCGAGGAACAGCAAAGAGGCTGAGGAGGAGGGGGAATAATACGTGGACGAGCAGGAGGAGGACGAGGGGAACTTGTTAAGTTTTAGCGTTCCTAGCTGGGTGAGCAGGGGCATGGCTGCAGCGTAGCATACCGCAGTTCGGTATTGCCCGTTCCTGGCATAGTTATCCGTGCCGTCTTTGTCGGCAGTGGTCGTCACCGACCTTGTTTGACTCAAGTTTAATTTGCCTTCAGGGAGAATCCCTGCCATATTTTCACGGTGGCGAAGTCCGTTGTTCGCACCACCGATTTTTGTGCGCGTGGCTGACTCCGCAAAGAGCATCCGTTCTGGCAGCGGCCGCAGCGGCAGCCGCCGAGGGACCACCGACCCCTGGCGCAGCCGACCCAGGCTTCGAGTTAGCATTCCCTGAAGTCCGAAAGACATGACACAGCCTGGGCACGATCCGATTTCCGGAACTTTGTGATGCTGTTTACGTGCGTCAGCACGGCGCCCAAGGCCAATCACGACGGCGCGAAGTTCATCGCCGAGGCCAGCGTTACACAGGGCAGCAAGACTGTTGGCAACGCGGAAGAATTCACAATCTTGCAGATGAGTTTCAGTATGCTCTCCTGATCTCATCAGAGTGACACTGCTGATGGCGCCCCCCAACAGGGGCGCGGCAGTTGGCGCCCGGCCGTTATTGGCTCGAGGGGCAGCTGGTGAAAAGCCAGAGCCCATGGCAACGAGGCCTACGCCCGCGCGTCGCGGGTGCAAGGCGATGACTTGGAGAGACAGCGCCCATGGACCGCGAGGCGCGGAGTGCCGCGAATGCGGCGTCGAGTCGCTTCAGGGACGCGGCGATCAGAGCATCCGAGGGGGGTGGGCCGTAGCTCAGATGAGGACGGGGCCCGGCAGTTCCAGGCAGGATGTGGACAGGGAGGGCCCACAAATAGAGATGGACAGTTCCGCGAGGGTTCGCCAGTCGAAAACCCAGGGCAGTCATGCGCGAGCCTAGATACAGATGGGTCGGCGCGCCCATGCCATTGAGAACTACTGAATCACGAACGCGCGTACTTTGTGCACAGGATGTGATCGATGATTCGAGAGGTGAAGGTGAAAGGGGAGTGAGAGATCCTCGGGCGGGATGGGCTGAGTTCCACGTTCCCTCTTGCAGCGATGGCGACGAGCGCCCGGCGAATGCCGCCCCACCGCGGCCCGCGTCAGGAGGAGAGGAAGGACGAGGGCCTTAGACGAGGTGAGGGCCAGAGAAATCAAAGAGGAAGGCGCCGATGGCAAAGGGGTGCAACGAGAGGGCGCGGGACCTGGCAGCGGCAGGGGCCCGGCGGCAAAAGCGCGGCAGAATCCAAACTTGTACGCGCGGGTGGAGCAAGGATGGCACGAGCGCCAATGAGGTGCGCCATCGGTCAAGCGGATTGGGATTTGACTACGATGCACGGGGGTGGTTGTTGGGCGCAGCTCTGGGCTAGATCGAGCAGGCCAGCGGGGGCAGGATCGCAGCGAAGTTGCGCGACGAAGGCCAGCGCGGCAAAGGGTCGCGCGCTGCCCACTTGCCCGCGAGAGTTGCTCGCGTGGCGGGGGGCTCGGGGCTCGCGCCAGGGCCGGCCATGGACCTGGCTGCGCGCGATGAACACGGGCAACCATGGGGTTCCACCCGCCATGCAATGCGCGCAAAAAAAGCCAAGGACATGATCATAAGCAAAGCAGACCACGTGCCAATGGCAAGCCGAGCGCGCGCGGCCACCCTCGGGCTGCAGCTTCCCAACCTTGAGAAGATTCGGCATGCAAAAGGAAAGGGGACTGCTGGTTTTTGGGTGGAAGCACCTCAAGGTGCGAAGCATAGATGAACGCTGGGTGATGCTGTCTCCCTTGGCACCTGCAGGAGCCGCAAGCTGGGCCGCGACGCCATTGCACAGAGTGGCACTGCGAGATGGAGCGGTGTCGTATATCGGGGATTTCTGCCGTGATATCTGGATGCGAATTATGAGGGGGAGGGGGCTCCGATTGGGGCATCCACGCGGTGCATGACCGACGGCGCCGACCTTGGTGGGGGCCTCGGCATGACGCGCCAAGGTCAGCATAGACGCATCGAGATCATTGGGGGCGCCGAACGAAGGGGCCAGAGTCTGCTGGGACCTCAGTGGGCCCCAGAAACGGCAGGTCCCTTTTTTTCATCGTTTCCGAGATAAAATGGAAACGGCCAATGGCGGCGACCGGAATTTGCAGGAAATCGCCCGCGATTGGAACCCGAGCCGGGGCTGGGGGGGGGACGGCCACAGGACCGGCGGAAAAACGTTGTCGGAACCGGCCAGAAAATGACACAACGGAACCCGCAACAGAAAAATTAATTTGTCGCTTCCAGGGCCCGCCAGG